GGGCCACGCCCCCCTCTCCCCCACAGCTTGAGATCTTATTGGTTGAAATGGAAGGCAGCGCTTCAGCCTTTGGCACCGCAGCCAATCAGCAACGGGCACTGCCAAGTCTAGCCAATGAGGGAGGAGCGCGCAACGAGTCGGCCAATGGAAGACCCACCTGCGCAGAGGCGGCCAATGGGGTCACAGCGGAGATGCCTGCGGTGTCCAATCAGGTGTTAGCAGGGCTGGCGTCAGCCAATGAGGATGCTTGGGATTGGCGCAGTGAGGGGGCGTGGCTCCGGGCGCCATGTTGGGGTGGGTGCGGGGATGTGTGGGTCACATGGGACGGCAGCAGGGTGTCCACCAATCAGATGGGGGATCCCCAAAAGAGGCACCCGGACCCCCAGAATGCAACGCATGACCCCAAGATCCCAACGCGTGGCCCCAAAAACCCAACAATCGGCCCCAAAAATCCCACGGAAGTCCCAGAAAACGTAACTGATGTCAACAGGAACCCAACCGAGCTCCTCTGCGACCCCAAAAACCCAGCGATCGACCCCAAAATCCCCACGGAAATCCCAGGAAGCGTCACCGATGTCAATAAGAACCCAATGGAGCCCAACAGCGACCCCAAAAACCCCACAACCCACCCCAAAATCTCCATGGAGAACCCCGAAAAGCTGACTGATGTCAACGAGAACCCAATGGAGCTCAACGGAGACCCCAGAAACCCAACAATCCACCCCAAAAACCTGAATGTTTTCAAGCAGACCCCAACTAATGACCCCAATGCCCCCCAAAACCCAACAGAAGACCCCAAAAACCCAACTGTTGTCAAGCAGGTCCCAACTGAAGACCCCAATGCCCCCCAAAACCCAATAATTGGCCCCAAAAACCCAACCGTTGTCAAGCAGACCCCAACTGAAGACCCCAAGGCCCCCAAAAACCCAACGATTGACCCCAAAAACTCAAGAGAAGACCCCAAATATCCCAGAGAAGACCCCAAAAAGCCAAGAAAAGACCCCAAAAACTCGAGAGAAGACCCCAAATATCCCAAAGACCCCTCAAAAACAAGAGAAGACCCCCAAAACCCAAGGGAAGTCCCCAAATATCTCAGAGAAGACCCCAAAATCCCAAGAGAAGACCCCAAATTTCCCAGAGAAAACCCCAACAACCCCAGAGAAGACCTCAAGTATCCCAAAGGCCCCAAAATCTCAAGTGAAGACCCCAAATATCCCAGAGAAGACCCCCAAATCCCAAGAGAAGACCCCAACAACCCAAGAGGAGACCCCAAATATCCCAAAGACCCCAAAATCCCAATAGAAGACCCCAAATTTCCCAGAGAAGACCCTGAAAACCCAAGAGAAGACCCCAAAATCCCAAGAGAAGACCCTGAAAACCCAAGAGAAGACCCCAAAATCTCTAGAGAAGACCCCAAATATCCCAGAGAAGACCCCCAAATCCCAAGAGAAGACCCCAACAACCCAAGAGGAGACCCCAAATATCCTAAAGACCCCAAAATCCCAAGCAAAGACCCCAAATTTCCCAGAGAAGACCCTGAAAACCCAAGAGAAGACCCCAAAATCCCAAGCGAAGACCCCAAATATCCCAAAGACCCCAAAATCTCAAGTGAAGACCCTGAATATCTCAGAGAAGACCCTGAAAACCCAAGAGAAGACCCCAAAATCCCAAGCGAAGACCCCAAATATCTCAGAGAAGACCCTGAAAACCCAAGAGAAGACCCCAAAATCCCAAGCGAAGACCCCAAATATCTCAGAGAAGACCCCGAAAACCCAAGAGAAGACCCCAAAATCCCAAGCGAAGACCCCAAATATCTCAGAGAAGACCCCAAAATCCCAAGCGAAGACCCCAAATATCCCAAAGACCCCAAAATCCCAATACAAGACCCCAAATTTCCCAGAGAAGACCCTGAAAACCCAAGAGAAGACCCCAAAATCCCAAGCGAAGACCCCAAATATCTCAGAGAAGACCCTGAAAACCCAAGAGAAGACCCCAAAATCCCAAGCGAAGACCCCAAATTTCCCAGAGAAGACCCCGAAAACCCAAGAGAAGACCCCAAAATCCCAAGCGAAGACCCCAAATATCCCAAAGACCCCAAAATCCCAAGCGAAGACCCCCCCCCCACGGCGGGCTGGTGGCTGAGCCCCGACTCCTCCTTCTCCAAGCTGATTCTGCGCCGTGGGCGCGGGGTGGAGCGCCCTGGGTTGGGGTCTCGGTGCCGCGTTCTACTGGAGCCCCCCAAAACGGCCGGGGACTTTCATTGGGATCCCCAAAACGCAACAAATGACCCCAAAAATCCAACGGAGGATCTCCGAAAACCGACCGAGGTTCGGAAGGATCTCCGAAAGGCGACGGAAAACCCCGAAAACCCAACGGCGGGACCCAAAAATGGCAGGAAAGACCCCAAAAATTCAACCGAAAACCCAACGGCGGGCCCAAAAAATGGAAGGAAAGACCCCAAAAACTCAACGGAAGAACCCGAAATCCCAAGGAA